ATAGTGCTTTTTCTCTTGCGAAATTCTGGCACATCAGCGGACACAAGAACAATGCTGTATCTTGAACCTGCTGTGCAATCAAAGACATTCCGACGATAGAACGCATGGAGGTAAGCAGGTTGAAGACGTACATTGCCATCACCTGCCAGACAAATGCGTTTGATGCGTTTTGAATCTAAAATCTCAAGGGGTGGCTACCAAGGCCAAGTTCACCAAAGAGGTTGAAGCCCCACGTGTAAACAGCATTGTGGGCCTCTGCGGCATGAGTCTCTTTTTTTGACAACGTTACGGCAAGATCTATGCCTTGCACCTGCAGTGATGTGTATGATAAACATGGTGAGTGGGTGAGGGCGCTAGCTTTCCGCCCAATAAGGGATCACGAAAAAACTGCAACTGAATGACGATCACCGGCAGCAAAGGCAATTATTGACTGCACCGTGGGGACAACAACAGGATCTTCCCGGTCCCACAAATCCCCATAACCAAGTTGACCGTGGGCGCCACATCCCCAGGCTAAAAGCTGCCCTGATGATGCGAGTACGAGTGTGTGGGCAATACCACAAGAGATGACGGGGCTCGTCTGGGAACTAGGCACGGGGGTCAATGTCAAACGCAAACGCCGAAGGGCGTCGCTCAGTGTTTTAACTTGCTGTGGCGTGTGATGCCGGCGAAGGTCGGTGCCTCCGAGTCTCGAGTCTGCAGCATCACCCCATGTGTACACTATCACCTTGAATATTGGACCCGCTTATTTCTCTTATAGCGCATTATGCAATTATTTGACACGATTTTCCTCTCCAGGTAAGCAAACCTCGCATTGGCTACCGCGATTAAGATCTGCAACAACTGCCGTATGCGCCTCGCCTAAACCTTGAACGCTAATCTGGGGGTGGAGGATGTCTATTGAGGATAGTACCAGCCGCGATATCATGGATGAGCGGTGTATGTCGTTCTCCTGGTTCTAGCTCTATAGCTGTCGGTTTTGCACAGGCCCGGGACACAAAGCCAAGACCGAGCTGCCCCGAATGATTTCTGCCCCAACAAACAAGCTCACGACTATTGGCGAGTGCAACAGAATGCCATCGCCCGCACGCAATACGAGAAATTATTGCATTTCTTTTGAAACCCTGGATTCGGGCCGGAACCATGTGATTTGTTTCATTGTCATCGTGTCCAAGGGCCCCGTATCTACCCCTACCCCACGAATAGACTGTACCTTGTTCGCAGATGGCAAACCTAAAAAGATCTCTGAACCTGCGATGATCAGGGACCAAACAAGACGCTGTCTGCCCCCTTCACTGGGCGAGCTGATCATCACGAGGTGGAGTCTCCCGCAGCAATTCCAACCACACCTTCTAGTTCTGTTTTGTTTGAAAATTGATTTGCAACACATTTAGAGTTCAGGCAGGCCTCGTCATTTCTTGAATCAACGGGCGGAAGGCTGCCTCTCGATCGCCCATTTTTATTGTGTCGTTGTTTAAATGACATGCAACCGCATACTAGCACGGCACCCGAAGCGAAAAGTAGGAGCGAGTGTTGATGACCACCTGTGCAGTGAACTAGATTCGTATTGTCAGCGTCGACGCGAATTGATTGAGGCAAGTCCGGCTGCAAATTTTCTTCATCTGCCACATCCTCCAGCTCGAAACTCCCCCAGACATATGCTCGACAAGGATGAGACATCAAAGAATTCTAATCATCCGGGTGGCTGTTTCATGATTGTATGTGCGTTTGCACAGTAAGCGTCGATGCATGAGCGCACAAACATCTTTCATGAGCGTTGACGCAAGAGCTCTAGAGGTGCACAGAATCTTGTTACCTCACTCGTTTTACCGCCGCAAATCCTCTGTGACTTAAGACAGGGCACTTTCGTATCCAAGGAGAATATCGAAGCCATGCCATGAATCCAACCGAGTCAAAGCATTACATCCTCTATGAAGGCGCGCCGACTACCACCAGAAATGAA